CCACCTCAGCCTTCCAAGTAGCCGGAACTGCAGGCGCACGCCACCACGCCCGGCTAATTTTTTAAAATTTATTGTAGAGACGAGGTCTCGCCATGTTGCCCAGGCTGGTCTCGAACCCGTGGGCTCAGGCAATCCTCTCGCCTTGGTGTCCCAAAGCGCTGGGATTATAGGCTTGAGCCACTGCGCCGGCCCACACAAATTGTTGAGAAGTTTGATTCTAGTCTAAGGCCATGATGCCAAGAATTAATAACGACCAACTGCATCTGTCAATACATAAGGCCTAGTGAAGGCCTAGTGAGATCACCTCCATGATGCACAGAGAATTCCTCCATATAACATGAACAAATAGATTCTACTATCTGAAAGAGGACTAGTAACTATACTTCCATATTTTAAGAGGGTCAGCATACACCTCACAGATAGGTAGCTTTTTGTTTGGGGAAACTCTTTGTTTAATAAAGGAGAGGCCCCTTAGCCATGGAGCTCTGGAGACAAGAGATGAACCATCCACCCGCAAGCCTATCTGCACTCAACTTAGAGGGGAGGTACATGTGTACGTGTTTACGTTCCCTGTGAGAGCGTGCCCTTATTTGTTTGCTTGGTATAATTTTAAAAGTGAGAAATTTCATCTAAAGTTTCAACTTGTTTTTTTCTTGGAAAAACAAGACTATCTGCTGATTCTGAGTCCACATCCTGCTTGGCAACAAAAGCTTTAAAAGTGACTGCCTATGGCCGGGCGTGGCGGCTCACGCCTATAATCCCAGCACTTTGGGAGGCCAAGGTGGGAGAATCTCTTAAGTGCTGGAGTTCAAGACCAGTCTAGGTAATCTAGTGAGACCTCATCTTTACAAAATAAATAAATAAATAGGCCAGGCATGGTGGCTCACGCCTACAGTCCTAGCTACTTGGGAAGGTGAGGCAGAAGGATCACCTGAGCCAAGGAGGTCGAGGCTGCAGTGAACTGTGATCGTGCCACTACACTCCAGCATAGGCAACACAGTAAGATCCTGACTCAAAAAAAAAAAAAAAAAGTTTAGCCGGGCATGGTAGCGCGCGCCTGTAGTTCCAGCTACTTGGAAGGCTGAGGCAGAAGGATCACCAGAGTCCAGCAGGTTGAGGCTGCGGTGGCCGGGAGCAGCCACTGCACTCCAGTCTGGGTGACAGAGTGAGACTCCAACTCAAAAAAAAAAAAGTGACTGGCTTTCTCAGCCAGGGAATGTGCTCAACAGATGGGCAGCTCCCTGCAGTCTAATCTCACCCCCAGGTAACCATTAAACTTATCCCAGTCTTTGGCTGCCTGGCTCCTGTGGACATCTGGGGGTAGAGGGAATCAATATACATTTAGAGAAATCAACATGCAGTAAGTAAAATCTCTAGGAGACAGTGAGGACCCCAGAGGAAAGGATATGTGAGGAAGGTTCAGGAGGAAACAGAGGGCTCAAGGGGGCTAAACATCAAAGAGCTGGCCAGGGATACAGTCCTCACTGAGATGCGTGAGAAACATCAAGTTGTTGACTATTCACCTGGATTCCAGTTCTCTACTGTTATAATCCTCCTCATGTATCCAAAAACCGAGGACAAATTATGTTTTGTGCTACAGCCTTGTGTTAGTGGACCTTTGAGGAGACAAAAGAAGAGAGTCTGTTCCAAGCCAGAAAACACACAGGAGACCGGTGGGCTGCAGGTGGAAGGGCAGTTTCAACCCAGGTGACCAGGGAACAGGCTTGAGACAACACCCTTCTGCTAACCCAAAGTCACCCACAGAAGAGAGGCCCCACAGAACCCCTGATTCTGCCCTGGAAACCTTGTAACCAGGCCAGAGAGCTGCTTTTATATGGTTCCAGATATGTGATATATGCATTTGTCTAAAGTCTCCTACCAGACTGTAAACTTCTTGAAGGCCAGTGCAATGTCACATTTCTATCCTCCAAAATCAAATAAGATCCTAATGTATAACAGGTGATAAGTGGATATGAGATAAATGCATAAATTTTGGTGCAATTATGGCTTGATCCAATAAATCAAGCAAGATCACTGTAAGGACATTTGTCACACTCCTGGCAAAAGTAAGTTTGCTACAGGACAAAGATAAGAATCATACCTCTCTGGGGAAGAAACACAATGATGTGTTTTTTAAAAGTTCACACCTATTAACATCAGTAAACCTGTGTGTCAGAACCTATCCTAACTAAATAATCCAGAAGACATCTGCACCAAAATCTCCACTGAATTATTACTTTTTTTTTTTGAGTCAGAGTCTCACTCTGTTACCCAGGCTGGAGGGCAGTGGCGCACTCACGGCCACTGCAGCCTCAACCTGCTGGGCTCAGGTGATCCTTCTGCCTCAGACTTCCAAGTAGCTGGAACCACAGGCACACGCCACCACACCCTGCTAATTTTTTTATTTATTGTAGAGATGAGGCCTCGCCAAGTTGGCCCAGGCTGGTCTCAAACCTGCGGGCTCAGGCAATCCTCTCACCTCGGCCTCCCAAAGTGCTGGGCTGAATTATTTCTTAAACTAGAAAAATGGTGGCAATACAGTTGCATACTGCATGATGTTTCCATGAATGACAGGCCAAATCTATGATGGTAGTCCCTTCAGATTATAAGACCAGATTTTTTGCTGTCCCTTTTCTATGTTTAGATATGTTTAGGTATACAAATACTTGCCATTGTGTTACAATTGCCCACAGTATTCAGTGCAGGAACGTGCTACTCAGGTTTACAGTCTAGGAGGAAGGGGCTGTATTATGTAGCCTAGTATGTCGTAAACTCTACCATCTAGGTTTGTGTAAGCACACTCTGTGATGTTCCCACAGTGACAAAATTGCCCAGTGATACATTTCTCAGACTTTACCCCCGTTGTGAAGCAATGCATAAGTGTATTCTATATGCCTAGAAATAAAGGGACTGTTAAATGATTAATGGTATGGCTGCTCAAAAGAATGTTATGTAGGTATTAAAATGATAATTATTCATCATATGTAGCAAATTTTAAAATATTAATAATTTAATATTGAACATTTTTAAGTATTACACATTATTTCACACCAATCATTACACTGGGCTTTTCCAGGGGGCAAGGAACAAAGTTAGATTTCTTTGATGGCAAAAGATTTATCATAAGGGCAAGTGGGAGGAGGACGACAGGCCACATTGATTGGCATTTGCAGCTAAGTCAAGCAATGCAGAGAATAAAACACTGGGACTTGAAGGTTATTCAGGCTGTCACCTCGTTAAGCTGTGTGCCCTCAGTTCTTGGAGGCTGAGCTCCATTCTGTGTGCTCTGCCATTGTGCTGTGCCAGCCCCTGGCTGTCTTTGTTTTTTACAGTTATTTGTTTTTCTCTGTACCTCAAGTAAGCCTCCGCTTACTCGTTACTTCCACTGCCTCCTGGTTTCTGTCAGTCGATGGCTTTTGCTGACTGATTTCTGCTTGCCCCCCGTCTTCTGTGTGTCTCACATTTAAGCTTCCCAAGAAAGAGGACCTCGTTGCTTCAATTAGTTGAAACAGTTCTGGTCTTGCGTAAGCCCACGGGTTCGAGACCCACCCGGGCAACTTGGCAAGACCTCATCTCTACAATAAATCAAAAACTAGCCAGGCGTGGTAGCGCGCGCTTGTAGATCCAGCTACTTGGAAGGCAGAGGTGGAAGGATCGCTGGAGCCCAACAGGTCGAGGCTGCGGTGGCCGGGAGTGTGCCCTCCAGTCTGGGCGACAGAGTGAGACTCCAACTCAAAAAAAAAAAAAAGAAACAGTTCTGGTCATCGGAACTCTCAGGACAGGCCACTTCCTAGTTCCACTGGTCAGTATATATATTAGCTGTGTGGCCATCAGGTGCCCACACCTGATCCAATCAGCTCAGGTCCAAAAAGTGTTCACACAGTATGAATACGGCAGATATCAACATATCAGCCACTTCTTCAAAAACGACTATGGCTTTGAATGTTTACAGTATGCATATTTATATACAAAACAGATAGGAAAAGTGATAAAGCTGTCACTTGAAACCAAGAATTTGAGACCAGCCTGGGCAACATACCAAGACTCTGACTCTAAAATTTTTTAAAAATTAAAAACTAAATTAAATTAAATTAAGCCATCAGAGTTGCGTTAAAGTGACGGGATTACAGGTAATTCTTTTTCTCCATTTTGCAAATTTCCTTTAATGATACTGTAATTGTTTTCAAGCATTTTTTTCAAAGTACATCCCCCAAGCAGTAGGACTCATGCAACCGAGCTCCTCAGTTCAGTTCCTTCCACGAACTTGTCTTGGAACACAGAGGAAAGTCACAACCATTAAAGTCTGTGATCACCCTTGCACAAGGTGGAGGCTTATTTCTACCTTACCTGGCAAGATAAAGGTGAAGGCTGTAATTGTACGTCCTGAAAGCACCTTGAAGGCAAAAGTCTGTTACTCTGAAAACTCTTTTTAGACGGCTGTAATAGCATATGCCACATAAGCAGACCACAGGACCTGACAGCTAGTTTGTGGAAAGAGGGCCCTTGTCCACAGGCCCAGTATTTGAAAATACCACCCATTTAGTGGACATCCAGGGCCCAAGACAAAGTACCCGCGGCAGCTTCGGGAAACCAGCCATCCCTGGCTTCACTTTGATCTGCGTCTGTCCACACCCTTGTTTCAGTTCCTCTGCCACAGACCTACAATTACAAATATGATTATCGCCGGGGAATGACTATAATTACTGCAAGGACGGCCTGAGATGGAAAAGACAGGTGCAATCTAATTCTCACGCGGACGGGCGTCTGAGCTAGAGTATCTGTTTGTGTCGGGGAAGCCCGAACACCGCCACCCGCATCCCCACTCCCTCGATGTCCACGTTAACGAGGCGGATAAGGACCGGAACCGACGGGCTGGACGGAGGCTCGGGCGCCCGAGGGCAGAGGGCAGAGGCGCAGTCCCGCGGCTCGGGAACCGAGATGCAAAGTCCTCCCGCGCTCCTAGAGAGGGCCCGGAAGTGCCGTGCAGTCCCGGAAGGCGAGGTGCTGACACACTTCCGGCCTTTGTGACTCATTGTGTCTGTGTCGAGGCGTCGGGAGGGCCTAGGTCCGTGTGCGCTGCCCTTCGGCTGGCCTGAGCCCCAGAGTCAGCTCCCCTGTCTCGCCCAGCGCCCCCAGGCCGCTCCCGGGGCTCACGGTGAGACTTGGGGCCGGCCTCTGGGGTGGGCGGGCGGGGCCGTAGGGGGGCGTGCGTGAGGGTGGGCTCTGCGGACGCGGCCCCGGGACCCCCCTCCAGCGGCCCCGGCGGAGCGCGGAGAGAGTCCCGGCCCTGCTCCGCCCCAGGCCCGGCTGTCGGAAGCGCTGTCCCCGGCAGACGTGCCCACCCGCCCCCCGGCCCGGGCGGGGTGGGGGCGAGGGCTTCCGGGGCCGGGGTGCGCAGAGACCCGGGGAGAAGCCGTCCTCGGGCCCCTCCCGGGGCCCCCG